CTAACCAAACTTTTCTTTCATGGGCAGTACCGCAAGCTTAACTTATTTAGTTAGCAACTGAATTTACTCCCCACATGATGATCAAACTTTAGATGAGATTGCAAGAAAATAATTTATTATAAATATCAATAATCTTTTTAAAAAGTTTATGGATAAGGATTTAGTTTTAATGTACAAAAATTAATTCGAAAGTATTTTTATTACCATCATATTTCAAGTAATAAAAAATAAAAATAATAATTTATTTATGGATGAACAGTTATAGGTGTTGATAAAAATATACAGATATTTAGTATTGATAAAAAGTTATATAAAAATACTTTTAATGTTTAAAAAAAAAGAAAAAAAAAGAAATAGGTAATGCTAGTATGATTGAAGGGCAAGGATTATCTAGGTGTTGAATATATAATGACATCGTTGGGTCAATTTTAAACAATTACAAATCATGCAATGTCTATGTCGCGTAAGGGACATCCAGTCACAATTCAAGTACGTGGAGGTTAGTTGAATTCAAAACTGGATGCTAATTAATTTGATTGATGAATTTTTAAGATCTTCGATTATAACCTTTGGATTTAAGATCGAGATCTAATTATGTGTATAACAAGCATTTTTTTCCAGATATGCACATATCATTTCCCATGACAATAGGATGCTGACGAGAGCAAAACTGCAAAAAGTATTAGTCGTGAGAAGAAAGCAAGCCTAATGACGACCCACTATCATCTGCCAAGTTTGAACTTCATCTTCATCACATTTGCCCTTGGGGGTCCACAGCTTAGCACTTTTTGCCTACCTCTAATGAAATTGACCACGCACCCTTTCGACATGTGGGGCTAGGCAGTCGGCAAAAGTAGCGCTGTAGTCCAAATTATGGTTTTATGTTTTTGGGATGATTGCGAATCTTATTTCTAATTTTTAGATCAAAATCTTATATCTGTGTCCAAATTATAGCCAGGCTTATTTTCAATTTCCAGACTAAAATCTAAAATGTGGTTTTGTGCTTTTGAGAGGATGATGAGGCCTATTTTTAATTTTCAAAAGAAAATCCTATGTTTGTATTTAAATTGTGATTTCGTGTTTTTTTGGTGGATAATAAGGCCTATTTACAATTTTTGGAATAAAATATTATGTTTATATCAAAATTGTAACTTCACACTTCTTGGAAGATATCAAGAAGTATTTCTAATTTTTGAATGAAAATCTTACTTTCATATCTAAATTGTGATTTTAAGCTTTTGAAAATTAAGAAAGCAAGCCTTATTTTGAATTTTCAAACAAAAATTCTACGTTTGTGTCCAAATTATGGTTTGGTACTCGAGGGAGGATGGTGAAGCTTATTTTTAATTTTCAAAAAAAGTCTTAGGTTTGTGTCCAAATTATGATTTTATGCTTTTAAAAGAATGATGAGATTGACTTTCAATTTTCAAATGAAAATCCTATGTTTGTGCCAAATTGTGATTTTATCCTTTTGGGGGATAGAGAGGTTTATTTTCAATTTTCAAACAAAAATCCTATATTTGTATCTAAATTATAATTTCGCACTCTTAGGAGAATGACAAGGTTTATTTCTAATTTTCAGACCAAAGTCCTACATTTATGTCGAAAGTTTGATTTTGTGCTTTTGGGAGGATAGCACACTATAAGGGAACAGAGAATTATGGATTTGCACTTCGAAAGGATGGCAAGACTTTCTTTCAATTTTTGAATGAAAATCCTATGTTTGTGCCAAAATGTGATTTTGTCCCTTTGGAAGGATAACAAGGTTTATTTCTAATTTTCAGCCAAAAATCTTATGTTTGTGTCCAAATTATAATTTCGCACTCTTAGGAGGATGGCAAGGTTTATTTGTAATTTTCGAATCAAAATCCTACATTTATGTTGAAAGTGTGATTTTGCGCTTTTAGGAGGATAGCGCACTATAAGAAAACAGAGAATTAGTGACCATTTTTTAACGACAATATTTAAATCGTCGCTAAAAATCATGAATTAACGACGATCCGAGTAAATCATAGTTAATTTCATTTCAATCGATGGTTTTTAGCAATGGTTTTGAAAACACCGTAGCTTCAAACAAAGTTTGGAGTTTTTAGCGACTTTTTTTATTAAACCATTGCTAAATTTTTTTTTTTAGCAACGGTCCATAAAAATCGTTGCTAAATTCCCCTAAAATGTTTATAAGGACGATTTTTTGAAAATTATCACTAAAATCTCCGGAAAATGAAGGTTTTTAGCAATGGTTTTGGTAAAATTGTCGCTAAAATCCAATTTTAGTAACGATTTCTTAAACCGTCGTAAATTTGTTACCGTTGAAGGGAAACCAAATCTTATTATTATTTTTTTAAAAAAAGAGGGATTTTAAGTTTTAGCGACGGATCTAAAACCGTCATTAAAAAAAATCCCTAAATATCTTCTCGCTCAATTTTTCCTTTTTCTCTTATATCTTTTTCTTCTTTTCTAGCAACGCCACCACCCCCAAAATTCCTCCATTGATGCCAACAACTCCCGCAAACTCCCCTTCTCTCTTCTTTTCTTCTTCCAGTCTATCTCCTTCCTTTTACTCCTCGCATTTCCTTCTTCATTCTCTTCTTTCCTTTTTCTCCTCCCTTCCCTCCTCTTCTCCATGAATAGTTGATAGCAACAGTTGCTCCTTCTCTCCTCTTCCATTTGTTTAATTGGTAACTAATTTTTTTTTTTGTCATTTATTTCAATAATTTTATAACTATTGTTTATTTATTTATTATTAGTTAGCTTAATTAATTTTCTTATTAAAGTTAATTTGTTAGTTGTTAATTAAATTAATTAGTTATTAAAATAATAATTAATTTTTAATTTATTTAATTATATGTTAATTAAGTGATTTAGTTGTTAATTAAATTAAATTAATTTGTTGTTAATTAAATTATTTAATTGTTTAAAAAATAACTAGGTGTTAGTTTAATTAATTATGTGTTAATTAAGTGATTCACTTGTTGATTAAATTAAGTTAATTTGTTGTTAATTAAATTATTTTAAAAAATAATTAGGTGTTAGTTTAATTAAATAGGCGTTAATTAAGTTATTGATATGTTAAAATAAGTTAATTATTTGTTAATTTAATTACTTAAATATTATTTTAAAAATTAATCATGCGTTGGTTTAATTAATTTGGTTGTTAATTAAGTTTTTTAGTTGTTAAAATAAGTAAATTAGATGTTAATTAAATTAATTAAATATTGTTTAAAAAATTTAATTACTTGTTCGTTTGATCAATTTGGTTGTTAATTAAGTTTTTGAGTTGTTAAAATAAGTAAATTAGTTGTTAATTAAATATTGTTTAAAAAATTTAATTACGTTTTAGTTTGATCAATTTGGTTGTTAATTAAGATTTTTAGTTGTTAAATTAAGTTGATTAGTTGTTAATTAAAATATTAAAATATTTTTTAAAAAAATTAATTACGTGTTCTCTCAATTGATTATGTGTTAATTAAGTTATTTAGTTCTTAATTAAATTAACTCAATTAGTTGTTAATTAAATTATTTAATTGTTTAAAAAATTTAATTAGGTGTTAGTTTTACTAATTGATTTTAATTAATTAATTTAGTTGTCAAATTAAGTTTATTAGTTTTTAATTTAATTATTTAAATATTTTAAAAAAATTAATTAGGTTTTAGTTTTATTAAATAGGTGTTAATTAAGTTATTTATGTGTTAAAATAAGTTAATTATTTGTTAATGTAATTACTAAAATATTGTTTTAAAAAATTAATTAGGTGCTAGTTTAATTAATTTGGTTGTTAATTAAGTTTTTTAGTTGTTAAATTAAGTCAATTATTTGTTAATTAAAATATTGTTTAAAGAATTAATAAGGCGTTAATTAAGTTATTTAGTTGTTAATTAAATTAACTTAATTAGTTGTTAGTTAAATTATTTAATTGTTTAAAAATTTTAATTAGATGTTTAGTTTAACTAATTGATTTTAATTAATTAATTTCATTGTTAAATTAAGTTCATGAGTTTTTAATGTAATTATTTAAATATTGTTTAAAAACTTAATTAGATGTTAGTTTAATTAAATAGGAGTCAATTAAGTTATTTATGTATTAAAATAATTATAAATTCAATTCGTTCATGAATCGATTACAGGTATACTGATGGTCTTTTAAATCAAGGTTTCATAGATGGAGTAAATAAATTTATTAATTTTACTATTAATCATCTTGAATGTATGGATAAAAATAAAATAAGATATCCTTGTAAGCTCAAAAACATGTCAAAACGTTAGTTAGTTACGAAGATCCTGATACAATTAAATACTATTTGATGAGATATGATTTTTGCTATTTTCTCCATCTTTCATTGCGTTATTTTTTCCCGGGTAAAATTGAACCTACACGCTGCCCACTCATCCATCTCTGTACCACTCAAACTAATGCATAGTGTACCATTAAAATTTCCAGTCTGCTAAAACTAGGTTTAACAGTCCCTATGATTGTCAAAAGCTTAACATACCATCAGCAGAATATAGATACAAGAAACATAACACAAGGTAGCACACAAAATCCTCTAGAAACTGAGCATAAAAATTGGCATCAAACAACAGTGGTAAAGGAACTAAAATATACATCGCCATGCAATTAAATTTCAAGAACAAACTTTGAATACCCACCAATAATTCTCTCTGGTGCTTGATCAATTAAGTGTACAGAAGATATTGCAAGGCAATTTATGTAATTACTCTACCAAGAAAGAGGAAGTTGCAAATTTGCAACACTGGAAACTGGGGGAGGAAGGGAGCAAGCCTAATTGAATCAGTGGCCAAAATGGAAGATTACCACTTGGTCGGCATTAGCAGATTTGCTTCATGATAAATCATCAGACATACATGAAGGGTTTTTCTTTTACCCTCCTTATTTGGGAGGGGGAGCTTAGCTTGTCATAATTGGAGAACTCCAGCAGCCTGTTTGAATTCCAAAAGCATGTCCAAATAAAGTATGCCTTTGAAGCTTCAACTTCCATTATTATGGTTTGTGTAGCTTGAACCCAAATACTCTAGGAACATAGCTCTGCACTACCTTTTGCGGCTTCAGATGCCCGTAAGTCATTAGAAACAGGTGAGGAAATGTCGTTCCAAAATATGCTCCATCAATGTCTAAACAGAGTAAAGGTAACTTGTGTGAAAAAATGTTGATCAAAAGACACAGGATATAGAGTATTAGAGTTGGCTATAAACACGCAAAAGTATCAGTCCCATAAAATTATAGAACACAATAGACATCCCACCAATCCATCAAACATAATGGCTTCCAAATCACAATCTAAAACCTTTAATAGATGGTTTATTTATTTATTTATTTATTGGTTCAACGAGGAGGTCAAATAGGCTTAGGACTAGAGAGTAGGTTGTCCTCGCCCAATCCCAAATCCCCGCCACACCCCACCCCTCCCAGGGTTTCAGCCTGCAACATCCAAGTGGAAATCCCTGAGTCTTAACTGCAGGGACATCCTTTGGGGACCTCTAACTGATGACTGGGAGAAGGTAAATGGATAAATAAAGAAGAGCATGATTTGATGAATGGAACAATCTTAAAAGGAACCCCTTAAACCTATAAATACATACCATAGCTCCTATCAAATTAAAACGGTCATGCTAGCTTGAAAAACATATCAGTGAGTCTCTGGGCCAAAAGAACTACTAATGACGCCCAAGAACAGCCCTATTAACAAGGAGCACATGCTAATGTCCCACTAGGTCATATGCAGTAAAAGAAAATTGGATGCAATAAAGGATACTGCCTTGATACTTGGAACGTGGGTAGTATATATCGTCACATCTGGGGCAGCATATTTTAACAGTGCTTGACCGAGGAATGTCTGATTGACCAACCGGAAGGCAAGGTTGTCCACAGCAGTAAACTCTTGGGCATCTCCCAAAGTCATAGTTCTTGTACTTGTCCAGCTGTAAAAATTGCAGCAGAATTATTCTAGCTAGTGTCCAAACATTAAAATCAAGAATAGCATGGAAATGCCCATGTCTGATAGCAAAATCTCACCATAGCCGCCATCCCTTTGCTGGTCAATATGTATCGAGCATGAATCAGTCCATAAAGCATCTCTGCTGCTGATTCAACCAGTTCATTTTGTTCTTCTGTGAACATATCACCTATCCATCCGAATCAATTTCCAGAAATAATCAAGTGACTGAGACTACAACATGTCCCTTTTTATTTACCAATACCTTAATTCTCAGGTCATAACATGACCAATGTAAACTTATTGTCTGTTAGTGTCTCAAAGCATTACACATGCAGTGATCTAGCACTAATACAGGATTCATATAACATGGCAAGATAAACATTGCAATTCACTGTAAAGAAAAAAATCATACCATGCGAGGATTCCACATCCAAAATCAAATCAAGCGCATAATCGTAATAAGGAACTTGACTGCTTAACCCACACATGTTAAAGTCATCTTGTATGTAATCATCATCAACTTCACAAAAGAACTCATTTCCTCTTAGATTGCAAAACCATGAAATCCACGACGTCTCATCTCCATCAGAACCACTAACATCAGACTCTTCACTGTCCGTGTCAGATTCCACTGCATTCAAAAACAGCTATACAGCTAATTGACACATCAAAATTAATTCAAAATAACAGTTACACCGACATTCATAGGCAGATGAAGATTGGATTAAAAAAAAAAAAACAATCATTCCAACCTCAATATTAATGTATGTCTAGACTATTGACTCTAAGCACATTTAATTAATATCTTAAATCGCACAAAACTACTGACAATTAGTTAATAACACAATATTAATTCTAAAAAATAAAACAAAATAATAAACAAATATGCAGAATAAATTAAGTATGTGGATGGATTACCAACGGAGACGTTGTTGTCCTTAGAGAGGAGATGGTCAATATTGTTGTTGTTGTGATCAGGTGGTTGCTGCTTGTTCATGAAAAGAAACAGATCCTTGCCGTTGGTGGGTCTGGAACTGGACGGAGAGGATCGGTCGAGATGCTTATCGAGGACATCGCTAATCCGCTGCTTTCGATGATCGACCTCGGTCTTGGACATACCAATCCCTCGCTCTCTGTACATCACGATGGTTTTCGTTTGATTGATTTCCTTGGACGGACGATGGACAAGCGATCGAAATTCAGTTCAGTAGTGGAGAGATATTAGCGATGCGTTTCGTGAAATTACTTCTATGACCCTCGGGGTCCAAAATATCCAACAGAGCTTTCTTTCGACGAAAAGACTGTCCCTTTTATTTGAAGCTTGTTTTCGGGAGCTATACATATGACCACTAATCCGTTTTTCGGATTTTTCATACTTTTTTTATCATTATTTTTATATTAGGATTTAGGAGTAGATTTTTTTATATATATTTTAACTTCTATATTTGTAAATGTTCTACTTTAGTCTCTATAATTATATTTTTTTCAATATTAACTATAGTTTTTAAAAGAATTCAATGGCCCTTGTTGTTAACTAACCTTAACCTATCAAGAGTCAAAGATATTAGGATTTGATTATCTTTTCTTCCACATTTTCATATTCCTCTTTGATCAAATCATTTCAAACTCCTATTCTTACGGCAATTACAATCCCTTGTAGAATCCTTAAAACTCAAAGGAAAAAAAAATGATTTAATGGTAAATTTTATTACTATTCTATTGCGATTTGATAATTTTATGTTTTTAGTATCAAATTATATAATTTGAATCCTAGATTATTGGTTTTTGAACAAAATTGATCCAATTTTTTTAGTTATCCTTATATATAATGGTCAATTAGGTTGATCATTATTTGACATGCTAAAATGACGTCGTTTTGGTATTTCGTTGTTAATTATATATTTTTAAAAATATTTTTATCCCTTCTAATTTTGAACTTTTTTTACTTTTTTTTTCTTATACAATATTTTATAAATATTTTTAGCCTCCCTAATTTTTAACTTCTTTTAAAATTTTTTTATATAATTTATAATTTATAGAATTAGGGGCTCAACCCTTAATTATGCTTATTTTAATTTGTAAAGTGTTTTTTTAAAGACTTGAAATTGTGTGTTGTCAATTATTATTTTTTTTACAATATTTTTTATAAAATATTTATAATATCCAATGAGCATTAAAATATTTATAATATAAATTATAATATTTTATAAGCTAAAATAAGCATAATTAAGGTTTGACTCTCCTTGATTTTATAAATTATAAATTATAAAAAGATATTTTTTATAAAATATTTATAATATTTTATAAAAAAATTCAAAATTTAGGGTTAAAAATATTTTTAAAATATTTTTTTAAAAATGATTAACTAAAAAATGTCAAAATAACGTCGTTTTGACATTTTAATTAACAGATCAACTTAGTTGAGTGTTACATATAACTAGAATTAGGAAAATGACATTTTAATTAACAAATCAACTTATTTGAGTGATATATATAACTAAAATTAGGAAAATTGGTTCAATTTTATCCAAAAATCAATAGTTTAGATTTAAATTATGCAATTTAATAGTAAGAGTTAGAAATTATCAAATCGCAATAGAATTGAAGTAAAATTTGCCATCAAACTCCCAAAATTTGGCTAGTCATTAACTTTCTAACTTTAATTTTATATTTTTAATCGAACTACGAATGAAAAATTAAATTGAAATTTGAAAACCAATTGTAAAACTAATACCGAGGATTTTTAAATTATAGGATTTTAAGTGAAATATTATGGAATTAGGGAAACTCAGATTTAGTTGAGTAAATTAAAAATTAGTCCCTATAGTTTTAAGAAAAAAATTAATTAGTCTCTTTCATTTTAAAAAATTAAATAGTTAAATAGTGTTTATCACAATTAATTTAATGTTATTTTATTTCATAAAATGTCATCTTTTTTCATCAATTCTTTTATATTTTTTAATTATTTTTTTTCTTTTTCCCTTTTCTAAAAACAAAAAAAATTAAAATAAATTGAAAAGAGCAAAAATGATTAATTTACAAGAAAATATAAAAACTAAATAATTGGTTTTTGAAACAGGAAAGAAATTAATTATCTTTAAAACTAGAGGGACTAATTTATAATTTACTCAATTTAGTTCACTCTTCTTTTTCTCAAAAAAAAATTAAAAATTAAAAATTAAAAAATAAATAAAGGAAAATATGGTGTGCGTTTGTGCGCGGGCCGGTGTGAGTAGAGAGTACTGGGAGCGTTGGCATTGCAGAGGACTTTGGGCCGCAAGCTTCGGGAGCTAGCGCACAAAATAAATAAAAGCATCCCAAAAAAAAAAAAAAAAGCCTTCAAAAGTAATCAACGAAGGATCATCCTTGAAGTATTAAAGAAGAAGCAGCAAAACACTCAAAAAGAATATAATATTCAGAGTACAGTCAAAAGTCAAAACACAAAGTTGTAATGGTAGGATACAGTACCGTGAGAAGTAGCAGCTAGTAGCATATTTATTTCCGATAGTGGAAGTACAGCACGTACGAATCACCAATAGCATCTTTGATACTTTACTATCATTTTCAGTGAGAGAATCAGTAAAAGAGAGATGCTGCGGCAACGAGGACAGCTACAAGTTCTTGTAGTTATCTGCAGCTGTGTGACTGATCTTTCACGGTACTAACTATACTGTTCGGTTCAATTTTAGTAAGAGATTCAACTTGGGTATGAGGTTCTGGTTGCTGGTTTGTTTGTTGGCATTGAGTTGTCCGTGTTGAAAAAATAAAAAGATATTACCTCAAATCACAAACTTGGAAAATATAAAAATAGTTTTATCAACAATTTTAAGTAATTATTTCCATATACAAGCAATATATATATATATATATATATATATATGCAAAAAATCAAGTGCATATTAAACACTATTATAAAAATACAACAATTTTAATTATTTTGTCGTGTTCAGCAAATTTCTATGCTTGCAAGTCTTGTAACTAAAAAAAAGTACAACTTTCACCAAAATTTATGATTAAAAAAAATTTATATATGTGGCTTTTTGATGGGAGGCCAGAGAAGACAAGTGAAAGAGCAATGCGTATATAAGAAGTTGCTGTATTTTTTTCTAGAAACAAAATATATAATTGTATGCAAGTAAAAAATGACACGCGCGTGCACACACACACATATATGTGAACTATACAATTTTTAACGGTACGAAACTGATGCTTTGACATTTTTTTAAGTATCGTTAAAATATTTGATTAAGATATTTTTTTCATCACAAGTAATTTAGTAATTAACACCATCATTTTGCTATATATCTAATGATGCCATGTGATATTGCCATCCTATTATACTAAAGGAAATCAAATTTAGAAAAAGAAATTAGGTTGACCAATTGTTTTTTCTTTTTTCTCTCATAAGAATATTTAAAATATGAAATAGTTAGAAACACAAAGACTTTCAAATTAAAGAAACCGGTTAAAGGACTAAGTCCAATTACTTTATAATAATGTCAAGAAATTAACACTTTTATAATTTTTTTTGGTAAGTTCAAATTTTTCTTTATATATAGTTATTATTGTCACTTAATTTATTTGTCCTTGATATTTATTATTTTAGAAAATCAAATTAATGATTACAAAAATGGAAGAGGATGGAAAACAATGCTATAAAATGCCTAACAAAAACTATATATATTTGGATAAATATTAAAAGAAAATATCTAGATATTAAATTAATTATTTTTTTATTAATTTTTAATTTATCCATAAAATTATGTATTTTAATATTAATTTTTATTGGATTATTGATTAGATTTATTAAAATTTAAAATGTGAATCACATACCAAAAAATGTTAAATGAAATCCTTTTATTAAATCAAAGTTTAGAACCATCTAATATCAATATATCAGGTTATTCAAGTTTGATATAAATACGATTTTTATAATGTACATTCAATGAATGCTAATTTAATATTCAGAAGTTATTGATAAGAATAATAAAAATAATTTTAGTATATTCTGAGGTGAATTATTGCTTTAAAACTTTAGGTACTAACAAAACTATAAGAATTGCAAATGCTTGTAACCCATAATGTTTATGGTGAAAAACTAATTTCCTTTTTTTTTTTTTTTATCGATCCACAAGTAAAACAAATTATGCTCATATTTAATCTCTTTTTATTGGTCCATATGTAATTGTTTTCCAAATATTCCATTTTTTTTCCTAAATAATTTATGCTAACTTCATTTTCCTAAATAAGTTAGACAATTATGTGTCCATGCAAACACCCTAAAAATTAAAATTCCTTCACACACACACATATATATACACTAAAAATGGCAAGAACTATAAAGGAAGAAAACAAAGTACAAAAGTACTAGGTAACATATATATTGTACATGAATGTTGGTCTACATTGCTAAATATATTAAAAAAAAACCTAAAAACACCGTATATACAATATTCGCGTATTATTCACACACTCAGTTTTCATAATTCATTTATCATGCAATCTCTCTAAAATCACTATTTATTCATTATGCTTGCACATCGTTTGCCTAAAAAATATACACTTTGATTCCTCATTTTTTAACATTGTTTTTTGATCCGCAACTTAATTTTTTTGTTCATTTTGGTCCTTACATGCTAAGATGAGAGAGAAACAAGGAGAGGGAACGAAGGAGAGAGACGAGGGGATGGAGAAGCCTATTCTAGCCACCTCGAGGGTCTATCTTGCCAACATTTTGTTTGCCTCAAAGTGTAGAATATGCTCGTGGTGGTGAAAAGTGATGAAATGGTTGGAGGAGATAAGTCGGGGTTTGAGAATATTGTAAGTTTTTTTTTTAATTTTGATTTGAATTTTTGTGTGTTTTGTATGAATTAAAATGTGTTTTGAGATTCTAAATAAGCTCCTTTATGTTATTTCTATGATTTTGAAATTTTTTTTTAAACAAAAAACAAAGCTTACTTTGGTTTTGAGATGCTAAAAATTGAGTTATCGACTTTTTGATGACTTTTTCAACGAAATCAAGCTCACCGAAAATTACAAAGTCACCCAAAAGTCGAAACCCAAATTTTGGATTATATATTTTCCTCCAATTTCTTTCCTTTAATTTTTTTTATTTCTTTTTCTTTTTTTACTTAATTTTGA